TTGTCCTAACTGAAAATCTTTAATAAAGCTTAGTAAATACTGATCTGTTGTCCTTGCAACTTTACCAAATCAAAACAAATGAACAACAATACATTTCCAATTTGTATAAAATGTCATGATGGAGAAAGGAAGATGTAGCAGTGATCCACACTTGTGTCCCCAAATTAAAATTACTGCCTTGTGACCAGATCATCATCGCTGTATTGTAAAAGGATGAGTAGCTTGTGAGTTGCAGAGATATTAGTCTCCCTTACTAACTGAAGGATCACAACATGGATATGTGTCACTCATACTGAAAATTTTAAGGATTCCAGGTATCACTGACCATTTTTGTAGAAATGGCCTAACAAACAAATTCTATACTCATCCAGAGATGAAAACAAACAATGAATATTCATGTAGGCACCAAGATAGTGCTTTTGAATAGAAATGTAACAGCATCCCTTCCTGTGATCCTTTTCTTATTCAACACCAGATAATTCCTTCTATAGAAAGGCTGGGGCAGGTATAACTTGTATAGATGGAGGACACATGCAGACATGTGGATTTTTGAGGCACTCTATGATGCTCATGTGAAGATGTAGTACGCAGAAAGCCAAGCAAAATGAAAGGAAAGATTTATTTAAAAATGTTTTGTTGTGTTTAGTTTTGTTTTAACACAAGAAGTTCTGCTATGTGTACATGGAAAAAGTTATAATTGATGGATGGGCTCCAATTATTCATCATTCAATTTTTATTACAGTATTCATGATTAATTAAGTTAAATTATTGTTTTTCCTGGTTCTGACCTCACTCCACCCCTTTTGTGAGAAGTGCCATTTACACATGCAAGTTCATCTGCCCACAATTATTTGGGTGGGGAAGTCTGCAGAATTGGCTTTAGCTGCAGTTAGCTTAATTTGAACCTGTTTCTATTTTCTTTTCCTTTTCTAGGAGGGTTGTCTTCAGTTCAAGTAAAAATGGTACCTCTGTAGCTCTATAAGCCATGGCTGTTCTGAACCATGAAATGAATAAACAAATAAAGTATAATGACAAAATGTATGTATTTGGTTATTTAGTTCCAAAAATGTTGCAGACTCTGTTCACTCTCTCAAGTTCACAGCGCGATTATAGCCTCTCCAGCATTTTTGCACAGAAGCTTCATTACCCAGCTGGCTTGAAAGCAAACCTAAAATAATGCTATCTATTCTCCATGCTGCTTGAGAAGGCAAATTCTGACTTGTCTTTTTGCACCCCCTCATTAGCCTGGAGGGGATTGCAGTAGCCCCACAGCTTCTTTAAATTAGCAGTAACTCCTTTCCTCTGACCCCAGGTGCCACCACATTTAGGTAAACAATTCTCCCTCTGCCAGGACAGAAATTAGATTAATAGGCTTGCACATTCACATATTGCAAAGAGGGCTCTGCAAAATTAATCAGCCAGAAAATGTTGCAGCACAGACAAAATGATCAACAAGAGGGTTTGATCTTAACTTTCTTTCACCAGACAAAAAGAGTGGTAGAATGCTGGACACAGAAGATCTTGTGACAGAAGTCTTGTGATGACCCGGAGTGTGGCACAAAGGCAACACAGTCACATAAGTAAGAAAAGTCCCTTTAATACCTTCAACTTTGCCCCCAGTGTTCAGTTACCTTCGTCTGGAGAAAAAACTCTCCCAAGAACAGTATTTAAATGAAGAAAATTCAGTCTGAAAACAAAGCACATATAAACTGTAAATAAAAATCCACACAAACCACATTGCAGCAATTAACTGACAGGAATAAGGAATTGAAGACTTCAAAGGCCAACAAAACACACAGTTGGGAAGACGTCAGGAACTCAGATAAGCCTCGACCATAAAAGATAACTCACGATTTGCTTCCCACGAGTTGCTGTGCGCAATTTCCCTTTTTAAACACTGTGTTCCCAGCTGCAGCTAATGAAGGGAATCAGGGCCCTTTCCTCTCCTGTAAGTCATGCAACTCACATTGCTCCCTTCTCCATTCCTCCCTGCATGCTCTAGGATGAAGAGGGGGTGGGCCTGGATCTTCCCCAGTTTCTTCCATAGCCACAGGAGCCACACTCCCACTCCCTGTCAGCTGCTCGGCCTCCCTCTCGGAATCAGATTCCAACAGGGGCATGACAAATCTTCTGAATCAATGCCCAACATCTTGTACTGAAGGAAGACCAATTTCAAGGGTTAAAGGGGGGGAAAAAAGACACTGGTTTGAAATGTGAGCATGGCATCCTCTTGCATGATCCTCCATCAGGGATAAAGATTTACATAACTTTCACGAAGCAAGAAAGATCAAGTAATATTTATGCAGTGTTAATGGAATGCTGGCTACAATTCAACTTCAATGACCCAGCATTAAAACTGAGACATAGGTAGCCCAGAACAAGAAGCTCCCTTCAATTCCCACTCAGGTCTCAGGTTTGGCAACCTGAGAAGAAGGGTAATTCTTGTTATCTGTATGTCAGTAGCCTTTCAGAACTTCTGCACTATGGATTATTGCCTGGTATCATTCTCTGATTAAAGTTGGACTTTAGGGAGCAGTTGTGATCGCCACTGTTGCAGTGGTGGTATGTTACTGGTTTGGACCGGTTCTTCTGAACCGGTAGTAAAAAAAGCCAATGATCAGCTGAGAAGAGGAAAAAAATAAATAAATAAAAATCCTCCAACAATCAGCTGAGAGGAAAAAGAAGAGAAAAGTGCAGGATCAGCCCTCCCACCCGCCCCTGCACTTTTATCTTCTTTATCCTCTCAGCTTATTGGTGCTGCAGGTCTCAGCTGGTATGGGGAAAGCTGTGCGCTGGTGTTAGGCAAAGCATGCCCACCAAGCCACGCCCACCGAACTGATGGTAAAACAATTTGAATCCCACCACTGCACTGTTGTATTGTCTTCCCTGCTACACAACATCATTCCTGCCTGGCATGATACTACTGACATGCTGACTATAGACCCTCAGGGCTTTCAACTTCTACTGGGTGACAATGTGTCTAGAGCAGCAACGAAGTTCACAGCCACCATAGCGGCCATGAACCTGTTTCAAATCATTGAAACCCTGATGCATATACTTCAAAATATGTGGGTTTATTATTATTTTTGTCTCAAGGCAATTGTAACATCATCTGGTAGTGGAGGACATTCCCGCCAGTCTGTTGATATAGTCAGATCAGTATCTGTCTTTCAGCTTCTGGTATTACCCCACCCTTTCAGTGAGACAGGGCCTTTTAAAATGGTTTGCTCCAGGAGACTTATGGATCTGCTGAGTTCCCAAAGGAGCTTAGGGCATGGTGGACAATTCAGCTGAAGTTAAGGCACAGCTTGCAATTGGTGAGTGGCTGAGGCCTTAGATCACATTGCCCCTATTCAGCCTCCCCCTGTGCATTAATCCCATGGTGCATCTTAGTTTTCCAAGGAGCTTTGGGAGATGTAATGCCAGAGACGTCTGCAGCACTGTAACAGGAAGATGAAAAACATGCCTGATTGAACATGAATAATAACTCATATTCAGGATTATATAACTCACCAATTTGGAACTAGAAGTGATACATCAAATTATAACATGAACTCTGCAAATAAGAAAACTCAAATTTGGAACATGACATGATTCCATGTATAAAATTATAATCCGAGAGTAATTTCCACATAGAGAAAAAGATCTGATTTACTTTTTTAAATATGACGTTATATGGACATAAAGGAACTGAGGCATATTATTCCACCTAAGATTAGGTTAACTTCAATCTCAAGGTACTAAAAACGTATGTTTTTTCATGGGTTTGGTGTAAGGGCTTTTGGTTTTGTTATTTTATGAAGCTTGGCTGCTGTGTTTTTATTTTATTTTATATTATATATCTTATTTGTTTTTAATGTTTTCTATTATAAGCTACTCCAGAGTTACATACTGTATGTGAGATGGGAAATTATACATAGCACAGCATAAGATAGCATAACATAACATAACACAGCATATAAGCGATGCTTGAGAAGGGTCCATGGCATTGTCTGGGATGCAACACATCCTCTTCATGACCTGTTTTCCTTGTTACCTTTCGGCAGGAGGAAGCATCAACTTTATGAACTCACAAGTTTTCTCTTTCCGATAAGTATTCAAAATGGACAGTGATTAATATATATATATATATATATGTATATACATGTATTGGTGTATGTGTCTGTGTTTGTCTATGTGTATATATATGTATGTGTGTGTGTGTAGATAGATAGATAGATAGATAGATAGATAGATAGATAGATAGATAGATAGATAGATAGATAGATAGATGGAGTATGTGTGTTATGTATGGGTATGGGTAGCTATATACTTTGAGAGCAGGAAACAGAATTTCATTTTTAATGTGTGCCAGTTTGCTCACAGTAAAAAAAAATGATAACAAAAGTTATCTTATACTGTATAGGTAAAATAAATAAATAAATCTGGACACCCATTTTGCAAGGTTGTTTCTTGTTTTTAAAGTGTGAGTTATCCAGAGTCACCAGTAGGCCTTTAAATTGTAATTAATTAGTCAATTAATTAATTTCTGGGATGACAATGGATGATCTGACTAGAATTGTACTGGAGAGTACATCAGCATAATAAATCTGTTAATCAGCAATTCAACTCTCACTAAAAGTTATCCAAGGAAGTAGATAGATGTTCAGCTAGCAACAGTGACGAGGAGTCCTTTTGACCTCTTCCAGATGGTGCTGAAGAAGTTGTATCGATCATGGTGGCATATGCATCAATCACTCCCTGATTATATTGCTCTAAGCTGGGCTAGGGAAAGTTTAAGGGTGTGGTTGTTTAGCTGTTCCTCTTCCTGGGTGCTACCTGTAAGTCTACATGGTACTCAGCACTTTTATATTGCTGGACAAAGTTCTTCGCATTTAGCAAGTTTTGTTTTGGGCCACAGAAGATGCTGGAGTTTGAATATGGCCAATGGGCTGCTGTCAGGATTTTGAGATGGTACAGCTTAGGAAACAGAAGTCACAAGAATGACTGGAACTCTCCAGAACTTGTAAATGCTCCAGCATTGGAAAATTTCAAGAAGGGATTGGATAACCATCTGTCTGAAATGCTATAGGATTTCTTGCCTAAGCAGGGGGTTGGACTAGAAGACCTCCAAGGCCCCATCCAACTCTGTTATTCTATATTCTATCCTGTTGTTATAATAGCAACATAATAATAACACAGGTTGAAAGTCTGAAAGAGATTCTCTCTCGCTTCTTATATTAAAAAGAATCAAAGTGGGTTAAACTGGATTTTTCTTCTTCATTCTCTCCTGCTTATCGAGGCTAAGTTGATATTTATACAATAGTTGCTGAATTTGTTCTTCAGGACCATCTTCATACTCCCCTAGAACTGCAAGTTTGAGATTTCTGCTCTATATTCTTTCTTTATATTAATAACATTAAAAACTTCCTTCCTTCCTTCTTTCTTTCCTTCCTTCCTTCCTCTTATTCTACACAAGAAAATCCTAGATAGCTTACTATAATATTAAATAGAACAGAATAAATAAAATCAACCAACAAAACAACAACAGTTAGAAATATTTTTTACTATGACAATGTATGGTTTCATAGCATATATTGGCTGTTAAGAAAGAAGCAGAAGCAAGAAACTTGAGTATTCATTTCTGGCTAGCTGGCCAGTATAACTTAGTCATTAAATTTAAAGAGCTTGGTTTACATATTTTCTCTCCAACTCAGAAACAGATGAGAGATTTTTATCTGCATTATGTATGGTATTAATCATACATTTTTTATAAACACAAGTGGCAAATAATGTAAGCTCCACAATAGCAATTATATTTAAAGAAAATATTTTACCAGTTTTCTTTTAATTAACTGAGAGATACCATCATTTGGAACAAGTCTCACAAATCAGGCAGGAAGTGGTAGAAGAAATGTTGCGCGAGGAGACAAAATATTTTAAAATTCATTAAAAATATTTTTAGTATTCTACAGAATTATCTATATGGCTGCATAAATTGTGGCTCTAGATTTGAGAACATGAGAATTGGTTCCAAATATGCAGTCAAGTCTGAACACAAAAAAAAAGGCTAGTCTGAATTAAATTACATAAACAAAATAGAAAACCGGACATAAATAATCACTTCTGATTGTTTTACTGACAACTTTTGACAAACATTCAGCGTAGCAAATGAATACAGACTAAATGATGAATCACTTGTTCTCCTGTTTGGCCATCATATATTTAGATACATGATGGAAAAAGAAAACACTACAGGTAATCAAACTTCTCCATCCTGAGCTCCAGTATACTCATTACCGATAATTCCTATACATTCATAAATACAATTACAGAATTTTCAACTATATCTCTATCATTCACTCTGCCAGCATAAATTCCACATAATTTTGCTTTTCTTCCTTATTTTCTTTGGATTTCTTGGATACAGAGTTAAACCAAATCTGAAATCTAATCTACATATTTAAAAAATAATCAGTGCCTATTCTTCTTTAGACCACAACTAAGAGTCATTTTATTTAATTAACTAAAAGCGTCTTAGGAATTGTAGTCATATAGTATACTGAACACAGCAATCACAGCAAGTGGTAGCATTTTAATTGATCTTGATATTAATTGCTCTTGACTTGCATCAGAATTAGTTAGCATTGAGAATAAGAGCCCAGCAGAAAATTCAGAATTGTAGATTAACATGGAAAATTAATAAACAAATCCTAGAACACTACCTTTTCAACAACAACAACAACAAAAATACTCAGTCTTCCTTCTGAGTTGTAATGTATGTATGTATGTATGTATGTATGTATGTATGGTATTAAGCTTTGTTCGGGTATTTTCCCACATCATTGTAGTTGTGCTTTTAAAGTTGTAGCAACGTTTTGGCAGAATCTCATCTGCCATCATCAGGCTTCTGTATTGTGTTCGTCTGACGAACACAATACAGAAGCCTGATGATGGCAGATGAGATTCTGCCAAAACGTTGCTACAACTTTAAAAGCACAACTACAATGACGTGGGAAAATACCCGAACTCTGAAGAGCAGCAGACATAGAACCGGTTCTATGTCTACTGATGTTTTTGCCCCCCCCGCCCACCTGGGCTCTTACCTGATCTTTATATTCCTGATTTTTCAACTTCAGCTGCCGAACGAGGCACAGCTGCAGTTAAAAAAACAAGAAAAGAGGGCTGTTTCAAAGGCTGCTTCTCAGCACGCAGCGTGCTAATGACGATTTACAGGCACGCGGCTCACAGCGGGCAGGGAAGCTCGTAAATCCCAAACTGGTACGAACCGGTAGTTAACCCTGTCGTATCCCACCCCTGTATATAGGTTTGTAAATTAGCTGAGACTAATGGTCTCTCTAAGACTTGACATTTATTTGATGGCACATCAATCAGTCACTCAATCAAAGAAAGAACTTTTAAATTTGCAGGTAAATAAAATAATATGATTATTTCTTTGTTTTTAAATGGTGAATACATTCATTTCTCTTCGATAGTGGAAAGGATGGAACATCTCTTCTATGATATACTTAGCATCTAATAATTTTATTTTTTTCCTTTATAAAAAGGAAGTTGTTCGTTGGCTAAATGTTTAAAAACTGATTTATCAAACTAATACATCGATTAATTGTTAAATATATACAGGTAGTCCTCAACCTGTACAGTGGCAACATTGACCACAATTGAGCCCAGAAATTATGTTGCTAAGTGAGAAATTTGTTAAGTGAATTTGCCCCTTTTTATGACTTTTCTTGCTATATATGTTAAGTGAATCACCACAGTTGTTAATTAGTAACACAATTAAGTGAATCTGGTTTTCCCCATTGACTTTGCTAGTCAGAAAGTCACAAAACATAAGGGTTAGGGTTAGGGTTAGGGTTAGGGTTAATCACATGACCTGGGGACACTGCAAAGAATATGAACCAGTTGTCAAGCATCCGAATGTAAATCACATGACCATGGGGATGCTCAAAAGTGTGAAAAATGGTCATAAGTCACTTTTTTCAGTGCCATTGTAACTTTGAACGGTCACCAAATGAACTGTTGTAAGTCAAGAACTACCTGTATTTGAAAATTAAAAAAAGAATAATATCTGGTCTATTAATATTCCACTAATTTAAATGTGCAGAAAAATGAAAAGTTTTATAAAACGGATTTGGGTTTTTTTGCTCTGCAAAATGTGTATCTGCAGCATTGTGGTTAACCCTTATAAAATACTGTGCATTTCAGTATGAAATGCTTCTCAATCTACTATACAGCAATGGCATGAAAATGCCTCAGTTAGATTTGATGGGCACATAAGAAGGTATGAACTACTTTCATGCATTATAATGAAGTTGAGCAAGTGACCTTAGAAGATGCTGCTAAAAATTGAATGCTATCCAAAATGAGGGTATCAGATTTTCTCTGCAATCTGCTTAATATAGAATATATCACTAGGGCAGTTCTGCCACAGCTGTGTTTTTCTAGCAAAAGAGGATCAGACTGGTTTTTGGATTTGTTTGAAATGTGTATCTTAATCCTTCCTTCCTCCCTCCCTCCCTCCCTCCCCATTTTAAATAACCCACCAATATTTTATACATAATAGAATTGCAGAATGTAAGAATCAAATTACATTCAATAAATCACATTCCACCTTTACACTATTAAAATATAAACACAAATATTGAATAGTACTTGGCAAAATGTGAGGTTTTCTGATTTTTTGTAGAGAACAGCACATTTCTAAAATGTCCCTTGTTCAACTCAGTTTCATAGTATCCTATTACCATATCAACATCACAGTTCTCAAATATTGCAATACAGAAACTTTCATATAAATGAATATACACTGTTCAAAAAAATAAAGGGAACACAAAAATAAGACATCCTAGATCTGAATGAATGAAATATTCTTATTAAATACTTTGTTCATTACATAGTTGAATGTGCTGACAACAAAATCACACAAAAATTATCAATGGAAATCAAATTTAGCAACCCATGGAAGTATGGATTTGGAGTTACACTCAAAATTAAAGTGGAAAAAACCACTACAGGCTGATCCAACTTCGATGTAATGTCTTTAAAACAAGTCAAAATGAGTCTCAGTGGTGTATGTGGCCTCCACGTGCCTGTATGACCTCCCTACAACGCCTGGGCATGCTCCTGATGAGGTGGCGGATGGTCTCCTGAGGCATCTCCTCCCACACCTGGACTAAAGCATCCCCCAACTCCTGGACAGTCTGTTGGTGGATGGAGCGAGACATGATGTCCCAGATTTGCTCAATTGGATTAAGGTCTGGGGAACGGGCGGGCCAGTCCATAGCATCAATGCCTTCGTCTTGCAGGAACTTCTGACACACTCCAGCCACATGAGGTCTAGCATTGTCATGCATTAGGAGGAACCCAGGGCCAACCACACCAGCATATGGTCTCACAAGGGGTCTGAGGATCTCATCTCGGTGCCTAATGGCAGTCAGGCTACCTCTGGCGAGCACATGGAGGGCTGTGCGGCCCCCTAAAGAAATGCCACCCCACACCATTACTGACCCACTACCAAACCGGTCATGCTGGAGGATGTTGCTGGCAGCAGAACATTCTCCACGGTGTCTCCAGACCCTGTCACGTCTGTCACATGTGCTCAGTGTGAACCTGCTTTCATCTGTGAAGAGCACAGGGCGCCAGTGGAGAATTTGCCAATCTTGGTGCTCTCTGGCAAATACCAAACGTCCTGCACGGTGTTGGGCTGTAAGCACGACCCCCACCTGTGGATGTTGGGCCCTCATACCACCCTCATGGAGTCTGTTCCTGACCGTTTGAGCAGCCACATGCACATTTGTGGCTCGCTGGAGGTCATTTTGCAGGGCTTTGGCAGTGCTCCTCCTGTCCTCCTTGCACAAAGGCGGAGGTCCTGATGCTGGGTTGTTGCCCTCCTACAGCTTCCTCCACATCTCCTGATGTACTGGCCTGTCTCCTGGTAGTGCCTCCATGCTCTGGACACTATGCTGACAGACACAGCAAACCTTCTTGCCACAGCTCGCATTGATGTGCCATCCTGGATGAGCTGCACTACCTGACCACTTGTGTGGGTTGTAGACTCCGTCTCACGCTACCACTAGAGTGAAAGCACCGCCAGCATTCAAAAGTGACCAAACCATCAGCCAGAAAGCATAGGAACTGAGAAGTGGTCTGTGGTCACCACCTACAGAACCACTCCTTTATTGGGGATGTCTTGCTAACTGCCTATGCTTTCCACCTGTTGTCTATTCCATTTGCACAACAGTATGTGAAATTGATTGTCAATCAGTGTTGCTACCTAAGTGGACAGTTTGATTTCACAGAAGTGTGATTGACTTGGAGTTACATTGTGTTGTTTAAGTGTTCCCTTTAGTTTTTTGAGCAGTGTATTACCAGGCAAGACATCTTTATTCCCAGAGATCTGGGAGTAAGTGACTGGCCAAGGGCCTCCCAACTGGTTTCCCATCTTTATTCCTAGAGCTGGGAGTGAGTGACTGGCTAAGAGCCTCCCAACTGATTTCATGTCTATGGAGAGACTAGAATTCTTAGGCACCTGGATTCTAGTCTGATATCTTAATTGTTATACCAAACTGGATTATCTTGAACAGGGGTGTCAAACTCAAGATCTGTGGGTTGAATCCAGCCTGTAGGGGTGCTTAGATCTGGCCCACAGGGCCACCCTGGAAACAGCAAAGGACTGGCCTGCAGTGCCTCTGCAGCGAAAATTCAGCTCGGGACGGCTGCCCTAACAGGATCTGTTTTGACGGCCTCCTGCAGCCCTCTGCCAGAGAAAATGGATCTCAGGGGATATGCATGGCCACCCCAAGCTCCATTTTCACTGGCAGAAAGCAGCAGGAGGCTGTCACAGCTGAAAATGGAGCTTGGGAGCCCATTTTTATTGGCAGAGCACTCAAGCCACCACAGACACCCTGGCATGAGAGATGTCAAGCTGGCTATGCCCACCCCGACCACGCCCACCCTGGCATGGTCAAACACAACCCTGATGCAGTCATCAATGAAATAGACTTTGATATTCGTGATCTAGAATTTTCCCTTTAGGTTGCCCATAATTTAGAACTTTAATGACTAATGTCCATCCCTTGTAAAATAGCGTGCCAACTCATTCTAACATTAGGCTTCTATATCCCACTGAAGTGATATCGCCACATATATTTGTCAGCTTTGAAATTCAGCTGCCACATTTTTTTAGAGAGTTACAGGAGTTGAAAAGTTCAAGGTTATTCTGTATGTCGTATTAAGAAATTCCAGTGGCAGTTAATTGGTTCTCGTGATTTATTAAGTGTAGAAGTGGGAGGAGAGAAGAGAGGAGAGAAGGTGGGTTCTGTGTAATGCACCAAAAAACTTTCACTTGGGAAATTGCTTTTGACATGCCAGATCTGTTCTTAATAAATCAATTGGAGAGATAACGTCTCGGAGTGATTGATATCATGGATACTTTCTGGATGCTTGACATTTATTTCCTAAGTCTAACTTTTATTTTTTGAATGGGCTTGGCTGATGCCCCGGAGTTCTTTTCCCAGAAATGGAGAAAGAGCAGCAATCAGCTGAAGTTGCAGGTGTGCAGGGGGGAGCATGTGAGGGCCCTACCTCTGGAGCATTAATTGAACCTGCCAGCCCTTGTTTGGAGGAGATGATGGATGCTTTCAGGATGGCAGTAGGAGAAAGAGATTTGGGAGCTATACTGAAGTGTTTCAACTCAAGAAGTTGTTATAACCCAGAGGTAACCCAACTGTCTGAAGATAAATCTTTCTCTAGCCCCAGGCATATGGCTATTCTGTTGGATTGGAGGGAAGAGAGAGACAATTGGGGTCGAATTTCTCTCAAGAAGACAACCCCCAGATTTTTCCTGGAAGTCCATCAAGGGCAGATTTACATCAACAGTTCCAGAATTTAAAGATGACAGATTTGGTCTCACAGTCTGTTTGGACCGGTGGAAGCTTGAGACCACCCATATTCATTTACCCAAATATTGTGAGGAACAAGGAGATATACAGATGCCAGTTGGAGGAAGCCAGAAAGAAGCATCAACTAACAGAGGTATGTTGCAGCCTCAGAGGCAATCCCCTCATTTTCTAGAAGGAATTTTGCCCCCTGCAGAGAGTATCCCTCCAGGGTGGGGATTTTATCCAGGCCAGGGGTGGATTCAATGCAAATGGCAGCCAGCACCAACACAGCCCTGGTCTGAAGGGGGTTGCCCAGACAGCAGACAGCAGCCACACCCCCTCCACCCGATCAGGGAACCAGGCCACACCCATCTTCCTCCTGGCAACCACAATTGCAGCCCCAACCAGAAGTGAGGTCACAGGGACCCCTATTCCAGAGAGGCACCACCCAGCCAGGATTCAGGGGGCTGTTTCTTCCATTCCAGTACAACCTGAAAGAGCCTGGCATGTGCCACCTCCGCAACCACAACCCAGGCTGGACCGAATACCTTTTGAGGCCATGTTTGATGGCTGCCACGAATATTTCAATTACTTCCTCACTTGAATCCGATCCCATATAGAACAATTTGGAGATCAATATGCCACAGAGTGCGATTTGGTTACGGCCATAACAAATGGGATGAATGAAGGGGATGCTTCAGACTGGGTGTCCCAATGAACAAGCCCCCAAATTATATTATGTAAATGGATTTATTCAATTATTAAGACACAGATTTGAAAATCCAGACAGGGTAGCAGAGAATGAAGAGAAGTTAATGGAAATGAGGCAAGGCAAGCGACCATTGTCAGAATTCATTTGGGACTTTAGAAGGGTCGCAAGCCACCTCATAGATTGGCCTGAAAGAATGACTTTACACTACTTTTAAAAAACCATTGATCCAGAAGTAAAGAAGGCCTGTGAAATTAGGGGAATCCCAGAGACCTTACAGTCATGGTATACCGCCTCCCTCAGCTTAGATCACAGCATCAACCCGCATAGGAAACCCCTTCTGGCAGCCCTGACTAAGAGAATTGCGGCAAGGAGACCACCGACCGGATCAGCCGAACCTGCTTGTACCTAACCCACCAGGGTGCTGAAATGTTACCGATGTGGCCAAGCCGGTCAAAGGGCAGCAGACTGTCTAGCCCCTGCTCCTATGCCACAAGCTCCGCAGTTGAAGCCTAATACAGCTGTTAGAGGTTGGAAGAATCAAGGAAGACCTCCGGGCATGGATGGGTTTGCCAAACACAGCTGGGAAAGCCCCTTCTGCGCAGATGGGAGCAACGGACTACCAGACTGACACCACGTCCCCGAAAACTCAACCTGTGAAGACGACCCAATGGTGAGTGATCCCTTCATACCTTTTACAGTCAAGGTCAAGTTAGTGGTACCAAATACGGGCAAGGCTGGGGAGCTAGAAGCTGTCATTGATACTGGGTGTTCCAGATGTCTTATCGAACTCCCCATTGTTGAACAATTGGGCATAAAGACTAACCCGCTAAAATGCCCAAACAGATTTGAGCAAGTGGATGGAACCTTAATTGAGGGGGCAGCCACTCAATTGACAGAATTAATCAAGATGGAATCACGAACTCATATGCTTCATAGTGCCCCCAAGATGTCAGAATCAATAATACTGGGACTTGCTTGGTTAGACAAATGGGCCCCGACAATCAAATGGGAGGATGGATTCAGAAAAATCCTTATTGGACCAGGCCCATTGCCCCCTCTTCCACCCACTACAAAGCCACCAGTCAGCTCGAACCCAGAGCTTGAGCCAGCATCCATGGCATCCCACCTTCTCCCAGATAACCACCAGGTACCCAAACAATACAAAGATTTGGCTAAAGAATTCAGTGAAGAAGAGTGTAATGTTTTATCTCCCCATCGAGCCACTGATTGCGCCATAGAATTAGAGCCCGGGGCGAAATTACCAAAACCAAAGATGTATTCCATGATGCCTGCTGAAATGGCTGAATTAAGGAAATACATTGACAGCAATTTGGAACGAGGTTTTATTGAGCCTGTCAAATCAAGATTAGCTGCCCTCATGTTGTTCAAGGAGAAGAAAGATGGCAGATTGAGATTGTGTCTTTACTTTAGAGGTGTGAACACAGTATGCATCAAAAACATGTATCCTCTCCCTCTTATGAATGACTTATTGAACCACCTGTCCAAGGGCAAAGTATTCACCAAGCTAGATCTCAGTGAAGCTTACTACCAGGTCCGCATCAAAGAGGGAGATGAGTGGAAAACTGCTTTTAACTGCCCTCTGGGTAGCTTCCAATTCAAAGTCATGCCTTTCGGACTTCAGGGGGCTCCTGCAGTGTTTATGCAGCTCATCAATGAGGTGCTACACCCGCACCTTTACCAGGGGGGTCCTCGTGTATCTGAATGACATCCTTATCTTCAGCGAAACCATGGAAGAAGATGTTCAATTGGTTTGACAGGTTCTAGAAAAACTTCTAGCCGCCAAATTATATGTAAAACTCTCAAAATGCGAATTCCACAAAGAGTTACTAGACTACCTAGGTTACCAAATATCCAACCTGGGGATTGAAATGGACCCCAGAAAGGTGAAAGCAGTGCTGGATTGGCAATCCCCCAGATCCTGAAAACAACTTCAAAGTTTCTTGGGGTTTGCCAACTTCTATAGACAATTCATTCTGTCCTTTGCTGATGTTGCCCTCCCGTTGACAGAGCTATTAAAAATGGGCCCATCACCCACCAAACCAAAGCTGAGTCAACCCCTGGCTTGGACTATGGACTGTCAGAAAGCTTTTGAGACATTAAAACGCGTCTTTGCAACAGAGCCCATCCTCAAGCAGCCAGATGCGACCAAGCCTTTTATTGTCCAAACAGATATAAGTGATGTAGCAGTGGCAGCTATTTTGCTGCAAAAAGATTCTGATTGCCTTGCGCTTATGTGTCCAAAAAGCTGACAGACGTAGAGCGAAGGTGGGCGGTCTCGGAGAAAGAAGCATTCACCGTACGATGGGTTTTGTTGACTTGGAGGCATTTTCTAGAAGGGGCGCCAGAGGCCTTTGAGGTATGGACTGATCATAAGAACCTTGAGGTCTAAAGACCCCTAGGAGATTATCGCCTAAACAAGTCCGCCTGGCCCAATATTTCAAGTGATTCAATTTCAACATTAAATATATCCCCGGAGGGAAAAACGTACTGGCGGATGCTATGTCCAGAAAACCTCAGTTTGACAGCTACTGAGAGGAAATAGTACAAGCCTTAATTTCAGACTCTCAATTGGCAGGTCAAGTAACCACTCGAACTCAAGCTAACCACAACCCCAAACGCCTGGAAGATAAACTGACTGCTGAATTGAAAATGGCCCTATTGACTGATCCTTGGTTCCTAACCATCAAGCTGAGTTGACAATGAATGGACTAGGTTGGAAAGGGACTAAGCTTTATGTTCCCACAAATAAGACTACTGGTACTAAAGCGTAGCCACGACTCCCGGCTGGGAGGCCACTTCAGATTCCTAAAAACCCTACATTTACTAAGAAGACAGTTCTGGTGGCCAAAAATGAAACCTGATGTCGAGGACTATGTAAAAAATTGTTCAATTTGTGCCACAATGAAACACAGAACTGGAAATCCCCCTGGCCTCCTGCAACAAGTTGCTGAACCAACCCAACCTTGGGAAGAAATCGCAATGGACTTTATTGTTGAATTACCTAAGAGTGAAGAGAATACGGTCATTGGGACTATAATTGACTTATTCTCTAAATAGGCCCATTTTATAGCCTGCAAAGGGCTTCCATCTGCGAAAAAACTTGCAAAGCTGTTCGTGAAACATATCTATAGACTACATGGTGTACCTCACAGAGTAATATCAGACAGAGGGGTACAATTTACCGCAAAATTTTGGAGAGAATTTCTGAAATCCATTGGCTCCTCTCAAGGGTTATCCTCAGCTTTCCATCCTGCTTGTAACGGAGCAGCGGAGAGGACTAACACCATGATTGAACAATACATTAGAAGCTATGTAAATTATCAACAAGAAAATTGGGCTGAGTTATTACCTTTTGCAGAGGTTGCTTACAATAATGCAGTACATAGCAGCATGGGATTAACTCCATTCCAAATCAACACTGGAATGGATTTTGTCCTGATGTCAGAGTTACCTCGACAACCTCCCTCATCCATGTCCCTGACAGAATGGAAGAACTCATTAAAGAAAGGGTGGGAAGATACAAAAAAAAGCTTTGAATGAAGCTGCAAAAATTTATACAAAACAGGTGGATAAACATAGATCCCTTCAACCGCCTTTTAAAGTAGGGGACAA